CCCCCAAAAATAAGAAGTTGAAAAATGATGTGAATGAACCTTGGGGACCAGACTGTTCTAATCCAATGTCCTAATCCTGTTGCTTGATCAAATCAAATTAGTGGAAATACACCCGGAGTTGATAACCTTTTCTACCATTTCTTATCTAAACTAGCTCGTTGGAGAGAATGACAACTAATTCTAATGAAAACGAATCAGCAGATGGGGGTCAATTGGATAAATTGGATGATTCAACTTCAGTCTGACACTTTGTTATTTATTGGTAACTTCTCTATTTTTACTGAAATTGAAACAGTCATTTGTTGCACCTCTTGAAGGAAAAGTAATCAATACTTTTCACAAGTGACAGATTCCCTCATGCGCCTTTCTTTTGTTTTTGCAGATAACCCTGGTACAACAGGTGGACCCCCCCTGGTGGGTGTCTTATACTCTGCTTTTAAACAAACCCGGTACAACTGAGTCCCAGCTTATTCTATTAACATTGTTTTGAATTGTCTTTTGGCAGCATAACGGCCGCAGCAGCAGCAGTGGAAACAGCCGGGGAGGAGTGACGATCCGTAAGAGGCGCCCCAACTGGATCGATGCCCCTGATGACAGCTTCTTCCTTGTTACCCGGGAGACCAGGTAAGCAAAGGTGACACTTTTATAACCTCTGATTGGCTGACTGTGTGTATGTGTGTGTGTGTCAAGGTAAAAAGCAAGTTATGCTGAGAACAACAGAAAATAAGAAGAATTGAGAGGTGGTGACCTCAGACAGTTGAGTAGTGCTCACAGAAACACACAGGCATTCATCAAGATGAAATAGAGTGGGGAGCCTGCAGCGTTAAAATAGAAAAAAATATCAATAAAAGTACTTATTTTTTACCAAAATGATAATGGTAAAAGCACCTAGGTCGGTTGACTTAATTACGTTTTTTTTATCTGAAGACATTTTTTTATCCAAGAGGAGAGTATACCAGGGTCATATTGGCTTTTTAGTTTTTTAAACTTTGAGCGTATTTTATAGTCTATATTTATTTCTATTATGATTTTAAGTACTTTTATGCCAATAGAAAAAATCTCCAGGGTATAGGATAGTGTAGAGGATAATTGAACACTTGACCATACATCAAACATACATTTTCTTTGACAATGTTATACATGGTGATGGTGGACCTTGAATCGTGTCCTCTATATTGTAAAACTCTCCTCTCCAGCCTTTATCGCATGAACAACTTTTGGATAGATTGCCATCAAATTTGGTTTGGATACTCTTGGCCACCATTGATAGATGAAGCCTATTAACTTAATGTATAGGTTGACATTTTAGGTTTTTGTTTAAATTAATCTTCATGAAAATAAAAGGTATTTATGTCATTTTGAGTATGTTTGTATGCTGATAAATGCCTTTAATTGAGTGTAAAGTGCTGCATTTGTAGAGATATTTGCTTTTTTTCAAGACTCAAGTTGAATCAAATTGTGGGCAGAAATGTAAGATTTACGATACACTCTTACTGAATAATGAAAATGTAATAAAACCAACTCCTCCATAAATAGCTGGTATTGATGTACAAAAATGTACTTGCTTAAACTCTAATACAGGCAGGTATATTGATAATGTCTCAAAAAGAAAAATGCAGAGGGACTCATTGGATGGTTTGTTTCTCTTTGTGTACTCAGCACACATTATGTTGTAATTGAATAAACATGCCATTACGTTTTACACATAGAAAATCAGTTTCTATTTGTTTATCTCAACATACATCGACACACACACTCTCTCACCTGCTCATACACACATGCACATAATGATCAATGTTGCATGTGTGTATGCAGAGCCGGCCCGCCCCATTAAGCGACATAAGCGGCCTCTTAGGGCCCCGCAGCCACTAAGGGGCCCCCTAGCAAAAAATAAATAAATCTCAGTACACGTCGCCGTGATAAGTATGTTTAATTAATTGTGTTAATATGCCTAGATTGCCTACTCTCAAAGTCATGTATTATATTATTGAGTCAATAATATAATACATTAACCGTGCTTTACCTGAACCTCATCATGACCTGTGAGGACGACAGGATTGTAATTTCCCGTGTTCAGTGAATGCAACAGAGGCAAGACCAACCAGAGAGTTGAATGGAAATAAACATCTGTCTTATTGGCTGACAGGTACCTATCATGTGAGCAGTGACAATGTTTAAAATAAACTGTCAGTCGGACTCAGAGTTTTTGAAGATGGACATAAGAAAAAAAATTCTTAAAAGATACGACAATTCTCAAGTGGTGGCTCACACAACAACCCCAGAGCCACCACTTGAGCCAGGCAAACAAGGTATGTAAATGTCAGTAAACTTCCAAGTTATGCGAACATGTAAGCAAAGCATAAATTACAGCTACGTTGACGTTACTTTGAATCGCGGGGGTAAGCTAAACCGTTAGCAAGTAGCTATAGCTAGCCAGATATATTAAATAAACACTTTGTCATACAATCTAAATGTAATGTTTGTTAGAGTTACCTCGTTATTTCAAAGAAAGCTCTCTGGGAAATGTTGACTTACTGTTCGACATGAAGCTAGAAGCTACCTTACAGTACACAGTTGATCCGGAGTCCTATCAGTTAAAGTGTAAGTTATCCATAAAGAAAAATCTGTTTACAGTTCTGTTTCATATGGGTGTTAAGAGATGTATCCATAGATCTCTTAATTTTTCTCTCAAAGTGCACCAGATTGATGCTTTTAACTTCAATATTTAAAAAAAAATCTTCCCAGGGGAGCATGCCCCCGGACCCCCTAGAGGAGGTGAGGACCCCCCTAGAGGAGGTTAGGTCCACGGTGTTTACATGCTTATTTATACAATATGTGTGCTTATACTAACATCATAAGACAAAAGTTGGTTCCGTGTTGTGTGTAGTCAGAACGCGCTAGAGTGAGGGGGGCCCCCAAGCCAAAGCTCGCTTAGGGCCCCCAAAGGTCTGGGGCCGACCCTGTGTGTATGTGAGGGAGAAAGATGTTCTTTCATTAAGCCTGTGTCTTAATGAGCCATGGCACCCGGCCCCCATCGCCCCCCACCGATCAGCGAGGCTAAAATTAGAGCGGCCAAGGCACAC